TTTTGGAGTGCTCTGTTTAGTTATATTTCCATCTCCCCTTCCTGTGTGTTGTTCCATGTTCTCCACCCCATCATGTCCCTCTCTCATCTGCCTTTCCTTCCTTCCTCTGTCTGCTTTTGCTTCCCTGGTGGTGCCATGTTCATTTGTGTCAGCTGTGTTTCCCAGATGTTTCTACTTCTGTCATTGCCTCCATGTATTTGAGTCCTCTGTCTTCCTTTGTTCTTTGTCGGGTTGTCTGAACTTGTCCCAGTTCCTAGTTTCCCAGTTTAGATTTAGCCCTTGGTTTTGCTTTCTCTCTTACTTTTGTACCTTTGTGTTTCAGCCTAAATTAATGGCTCTGCTTTCCTTAAACTTGGTTCTGTCTCTCTTGTGTCTGCATTTGGGTCTGCTCCAAAAACTCTCTGGCTACTCAGCCTTGACAAGAGGAGGCTGAAGCATTTATGTAGGAGTCAAATAAAATCTTACCTTTGGTTGAACAATGCTTTTATTTTTTAAATATGTTTATTAAGAATGTTTTAGGCTGTGGTGGGTTTGAGGCTGAGATGTGCGTGAGCTTGGGAGGTACTGACTGCATGTTGTCGGCCTCCCCTCAACACTTTGCTCGGGCTCTGGAGCCAGTGTTCTGGGCTGGACTCTGTTCCACTCTAGAGTTTCCCTGGTTGACATGTGGTGGGCAGGGGTGGGTACACTTGCATCCCCTGCTTTGTTGCCTGTATGTTGGGGTTTTCCTGGTGGATGAGACGGTTGCTTCCCTGCGCCCTCAGGTGGAGGAATAGGTTCTGACTGTCGTTTGTGCCTATGCGCCAAAGGACAGTTTAGAGTATCCAGCCTTCTTAGAGTCACTGGGTGGGGTGCTGGAAAGACACTTAAACACTCACATGGGCAATGACTGTGTGACCTGGAGGGGTGTGCATGGAAAGAACAGCATGCCCGAGTTGTGTCCTGCTATTGGGCTTCTGTGCTACACTTGGTCCACAATGAATACCGTGTTTGAATATGTGTTCATAACTGCACCCTGTAGGTCGCAGGTTGATGGATTTTTGTAATCGTATCATTGGTTCTGCAGCTACGTGACACTCGGTTGGAGCTGTCAGCTGTCGCGGTGCCATTTATTCAGGAGAATGAGGTGTTCTACACACACTGTCTACAGTGGTGGTAGGAAGATATAGTCATGCAGTGGAGGGAACACTTTGAGGATCTGCTCAATTCCATAGTCACACCTTCTGTAATGGAAGCAGGGTCCGTTGAGGAGGGGGACCACTCACCCATCACTAGGGGTAATGTTACTGATGGCCCCTAGGGTGGATGAGGTTCGAGTTCCTGAAGGCTCTGGATTTGGTAGGCTGTCCTGCCTGACACACCACTACTGCAACAGGGAGATCTGGGGCGGCGGATCTGGATTGGGAGACTGAGGTGGTGGCTCCATGTTTAAGAAGGTGAAAGTCTGTGCCAGGGTGCTGGAAACGAGAGTCCCTCCATTACTTTAACCTCAGGTTCAGGAGGATCAAGGGGGTTTTCGTCCTGCTCGCAGAACACTGGACTCTCGAGGATATTTGACGGTCCATGGGAGTTTGCTCAAGTTTACTTATGTTTTTTGGACTTGGAGAACAAACTCAGAGAACCCTGTAGAGGGTTCTTCAGGAGTGTTGGGTGTCTGGCCCATTGTTATGGGTCATTTGGCCCCAGTACAACCATAGTGAGAGCTTGGTTGGTATTCTAACGGTAAGTCAGAGATGGAGGACGCCTCAGTGTGGGGGAGGGGGGAGCTACGGTCATCCATCAAAAATGGATGGACTGACTGCATTCGATAACATCTGGAATGTTTTGGATGTTAAGGTTCAGACGTGTTGTTCAGACTCTTTCTGAGGACAACATCAGCAAAAAAAATCACAAAGAATCTGAGAGATTTTAGGTTTCCTGCAGTTTCACAGTCACATCCAACCTGAGAGCCAACAGGTCCGTGTGCCAAAGCATTCTGGGAACTGTAGTTTCATACTTCACTTATTTATTTGAAGCAGAATTCGGAAAGTTTCAGTTTTAAGTCATGAATATTAAAACACACGATGTAGGGATGCACCGATACCGATACTGGGTGTGTGTGCGTGTGCGCGTGTGCGCGTGTGTGCGTGTGCGTGTGTGCGCGTGTGTGCGTGTGTGTGCGTGTGCGTGTGTGTGTGTGTCCATCAGGCGGATCTGGTGTCAGTTCTGATCATCACACTGCCCCAGGTCTCACAAACACATCATGTAACTGCTCAGCTGACGTCCCACAAAGTCGGTGTTGACAGCTGCTGAAGAACATCAGGACGCACACATGCACGCGCACACATGCGCGCGCACACACAGGGCCCTGTGGCGTGTAATTATGCTAATGAGGTGTGATGAAGGCCGAGGCTGTGAGCTACGGTGGCCTGCAGGGACACATTTTACATTCACACCCCCCCCACACACACAC